TTCTTGTTGTTGAATAGATTGGCACTGAAAAATTTTCTAAATTCCTTAGTAAATTAAATGGTCATATGTAATTTCTAATTGTTTTACAAAAAAAAAAAAAAAAAATGGTAAAGGAAAACAAAACGCTTTTAATTTATTTTTTAATAATTTTTAAGAGATTTAGCATGAGATAGTATAGGCTATTTCAATTTTAATTCTCGTTTTTACCATATAGACTACTGATGCATTTTTAAGATGATGAGTGAGTACAACCAACCAAATTTCAATAATTTCAATTTTTACAGTTTTCAATAATGACATCATCAGGATTTATTTTATGCATATTATTAATTGCGCAAGGAGTTCAAGGATGGTGGTATCCGGGCAGTTATGGTTATGGTTATGGTTATGGTTATCACGGTGCGCCCTTTTTTCATCCTTATGGCGGATATGCGCCATATAATCCAGGCTATCATCATCCGGCTTACCACAATTACCACGTTAATCATGCGTAATATTTACACTTACTCTTTATATAATACTATATTTCTACCGCAAACATTTCTGATCAAAAAAGTTAAAAATGAAATTTTGATAAATTTTTCACTTGAATTGATTCATAGTTGTTTCATTTATTTCATAAAAAGCTTTAATGAAATTATTTCAGTTTTGTTTTTCCTTTTTCCCCTATCATTTTGTTATCCTAACAATTATCAAATTATCAGGATTTCTACGAATCTGGGAGCAAGTGTTGGTGCCGCGCTTGGCTCATTGGCTGCAAGTGTTGGTAAAAAGAAATGAAAAAAAAATTATTTGCGAAATCAAGGCTTTTTCCTGAAGTTCACATTCATCATCAATTCTGCATGTCAAAAATTTTGCATAAATTTTTATAAGTTTCACTGACGATGATCTCTTTTTAAACAAACATCAGATTTGAAAAATGATAAAAAACAAAGAAAAAAAATGAGCAGAATAAAAATCTAAAAAAATTAATTTTTCCTTGTCTAAAATTCTTTTTTTAAAAAAATTCATTTTTTCAAAATTTTTCATTTAATTTTAAAATTTTCACTATCGCACTACTACACTTGTATCATATTTCATTACGAATTCATAATTGTTTAATTAATCTGAATAGATTCAAAACTTAAAATTAAATTGCAGTAATGATTTTTTTGAAAGAAAAGCTATTTAAGAATTAACTGAAGTAATTTTTAATGGATACAAAACAAGAAAAATTAATATTGTCCACCTATATTATCCATTAATTTACTTTAAACTATTATTGCACGCATGTTTTCTTAATTATTTAATTTATATCATTTTGTCCGTTTGAAATTTTTTGATAAAAAAAAGTTCAGGAAGAAATATTAGCTTTTTGAAGTAAATTTATTGTTTCAATTCTTTTATATTTCTTACATTTTGCCGTGTTACTTCTATTTTGCCATTTTGCAGTCATTATTCGATTATAACTTTTTTCACTTTTTAATGTATTTTATAAAAAAAATTACCTCAAACGTCTATAATTTTTATTCTCATCTATTTCGAGCAGTAAAAAAGCATGAAAGTGATAAAAAATAAAAAATATTGCAAAAAAAAACACTTTTTTAGAAGCTTTTGTTTGATTTATTATGTATTTCGTGTAATTAAAAAATTAAAATTAAATTACAGCAATGATTTTTGTTTTCGAAATTTTTTTATTTTTGAACATTTAAATCAATCGAATGTTGGCATAAAAATTTACATATCGTTATCGCTAACAAGAACAATCAACAGATCTTCTCTTCAACATTCTCTTATTCTTGAATGAAATGATAAAAGCTTGCTTATGCCTGACAAATAGCATCGTGATCAAGCAGGATGTACCAACCAGTAATATTGTGGTACCAGACAGTAGAAGCATATCCAACAATGAAAGGCAAACTGGCATAATATGAGATTCTTCTTTTACGGCTAAATTAATGATAATTAATTTGAATGAAAGAAAAAGAAAGGGTGCAGTTATCGGATCAATTATAATTAAATTATCAATTTATTAAATCGTTAACTTCTATTAATAAATTTTTTGTACAATGTACTGTAATCAGGATTAGCATTTAATATAATTAATATATGTATTTGTCCGATTTTAAACATCCCGCTCTCCCTCTCTATCTTTCTTACTATTCCACGAAAGGATAAATATTTCTTATTACTTCTTATATTATTTGCATACTTCACAAAAACAGTGTCCTTCAGAAGTGAACATTTTTCAATTTTTTTTTCCATTTTCTAAATTATCGCTGTTTTGTCCTTCATTTTTTACTTTGCTTCTTTACGGTTAGACTAATTGAATTCATCCTTTGTACTATTCAAGTTTAAGTTACCTTTATAGCCGCTCGTTGATGCATTTGAAAGGTGAACTTCAACCAATGGGAATACAACAACGCTTGCTGTCAAATCCATTTCCGCAACTCCCATATTCGAAGCAAGCATTTTCGGTAACTTCAAATTGCTATTAGAACGAATTCCTCTTCGAACTCGTATGTTCCGTGGTATCGTGCTGGTTTTGATGAAATTAAATAATTGCACGTCTTGAAATTAGATAATGAAGAAATTTTACGAGAAAAAAGAGTGTTAAACCTGCGTGATTTCATATTAGTTCTAAAAAATAGAAATTAATTGGTGATTGTGCGAGGCTCACGCGGATGTCTGCGATGGTTGTAAGGATGGAAGTGACGTGGAATGCAAATTTCTTCGAATTTCTTTGCGCGTTGTATCAATTGGTCCAAAAAATT